TGGGGATGACCTTTTCTAATTCCATAACAGAAATATCGTCTGCAAATGGATGGAGTAATGAAGCATTGATGCTACAACATTTACTCCTAAGTATCACCACGATACTAGTTTCTAAACCTGCGTTTCCTTGTGAGAATTAATCCTTTCCTGTTCCTTTGCTGTGATATAAGGCCTTTTTCATTATGTAACACATTTCTACCACATTTAAAGGAGTAACTAGGTATGTGAAGAAAAATTTCAAACTCAACCAAATCAATGCTACCATTGGAAAGAGCTTGAATAAACAAAGACAATGACACCAAAATCACTCAGATATCTTAACAAATAAGGAAATTATTGGCAAAAGAAGTTCGCTAATTAGCCCCATTTTTTAAAATGGAATGAGTGTAGAAAACTGTGACCAAATACCTAACTTTTTATATAAAAACGCTTGTAGTTTCCTTCATAATCAAGATATCTCAATGAAACTTTCAGGGAAGGTGTATCTCTTTATATTCTTCAATCTGAAAGAATAATATATATTCCAAGTATGTCCTTAGTCTGAAATTAAATTGATAGAAGGTGAAGACTGGAATGGTGTATCAACAGGCGCCGTGTTGGTTTAGGTCACGTGACCATGTGAATATCTTATCTTCTGCTTAATTAAATGCGACTCAGTGGATATAATCATCTTTTTCACATCTTAAGATATTTCCCTAATATCATGGCATATTGATGCAACAAATCACTGATGAACATGCAGCAGATTTCAGGATTTTTGGCCCGTGACGATCCTGTATGCTGCCGGTCCGGGTCAGTAAACTTTTTTTCTGATCCATAGAAAGCTATGAAACTGCAGGATTAGAAAGATGAAATGATAAACAATATGTCAATTTAGCTTTCAAAAGCGTCACTTAATCCTTTGAAGTGGTTTTTGTATGTTGAAATCGAGTGTATTTTTCAACGTTTCCGGAAAAGGTCTAAATGTACGCAGAATTGAAAAATTCAAAACGGAGGACGAAGAGGGGTTCCCCATCTATGTTATCAGTGGGAATACCGCGGAATTCCGCAATGCGATACAATAAGAATGCGTATTTTCCGGGGTATACCCAACGCTCAGATGACCCGATGGTGGAACAGGAATCTGGAACAAAAAAGGCGGCCATGTTGGTCGCGCTCTTCACATACCTAGAGTAACGGCATAACACCGAGGCCATTTAGGGCCATTTAGGGGCCACTTAGGGCCACGGGGGGTTTTCAATCCCCTGTTTATTTGAGCCTGTTTTTTACTATGTGATTTATATATATATATATATATATATATATATACACACACACACACACACACACACACCAGAGAGAAGCAGCATTATGGTCTTCTTATTCCAGGGGAAATTAATTTTTTATTTTTTACTTAAATTAAGTTTTGGGATAGTAAAAAGCACATTAGAGTCCTAACTGTCATCTTTAAATAACAATAGGACCAGCTAGAGTGGTCTGTGTAGAATGAGAGATATGAGCAAAAACACATCATCTACAGAAGATAAACATGAATTGCTGGATATCAGGAGAATATAGGAAGTGTTTAAACGTTCTGGAATTTAAGTAATCGTAGTTATGAGTGTGAGGGCAGGAGTGGCGCTCTCTGAGGGGAAGGTCACTCACGCCACCGACACGCTCCTCTGACTGCCTCAGGCCCAGCTGGGCAGGAGTGGCGCTCTCTGAGGGGAAGGTCACTCACGTCACCGACGCGCTCCTCTGACTGCCTCAGGCCCAGCTGGACAGGATGCGTCTGCATCGTCTTCACGACAGATCCCAGCGGAGATCCCGGGAGGAGGAGGGCACCCGCCCACGTGCCCGCTGCGCCTCCTCCTCCGACAGCCACCGCAGGAGGGCTGCGCACTGCGAGGAGCAGATAACCACCATCCCCGAGCTGTCCGAGTCCTTCGAGAGGAAGCTGCGGCTCCGAGGTCGCGTTGTGCCGGTCACGGTACGTGGGCGTGGCTGAGACAGGGGCCCCGGCAGGCCCGTGTGACACGCCAGCGTCTGGCTCGGCTCAGGGTGCTCCGCTAATTTTTTTTAAGATTAAAGTGCAGTATTATTCAGTAAAAGTTACACTAGTGGTCAAAATTGTGAAAATGCCTAGCATGTCTGGGATTGCGCTTTAAAAATTACTACACTAATATTGGCGGTAACGTTTGTAAACAAAGATTATTACAAATATATATTGGACAATTAAATAAATAACTGGAGCGACAGCTGAGTTCTGCAATCTCTAAAAATTGGAAGTGTTTCCACAATATTGGCCACTAGTGTATGTGAAAGATAACGTTTCGTATTTCTGTAGCGAAATATATACTGATTTTCAAACTGATATTTTCTTTGTGTCTAATACCTAACAGCATACACTCTGCTTGTCTTTCATTTTTCCCAACTATCAATCAATCACGGTGTATTTTTTTTAACTGTTTACCGTTTCCCGTAGTTGTTGTGCACTTTAGGTTTATTTATGTGCTTATTGTATTGTTTATTGCACAGGTGTCAGACTCCAGTCCTGGGGGGGCGGAGCCCTGCACATTTTTGGGTTTCCCCTCATTTAACACACCTGATTCAACTTCTTGTGCTAATTACCACATAGCTGTTGAGCTGAATCATTTGTGGTGTAACAGGGAAATAATTAAGCTACACAGGGCTCCGGCCCCCCAGGACTGGAGTCTGACACCCCTGGCTTATTGTATTGCAGAACGATGTTGACAATATGTGTCTAATTCATCAAGAGGACATAAGACGAGGCAAGAGTGGGAAAACAGAGCCACACTGTACCCACCAGCTCCACAAGGAAGTAAGTGACATGTCACCATCATTCACTGTCACACTGTGTCACTGTACCAGCTGGGCACTCGGGGCTCTGTCACACTGCAGGGCTGTATAAAAACCGTTATGAAGTGAACAAAAGTTCTCCCTAGAATGACCCAGACAAAGTGTATATTTTGCAATGGCTGATTCTTTCAGAGTTGCAAATCTGGTCTTGCCATCTTTGATTGGTTGATGAGGAAGGTGAAAAGGTCAGAGCGCGAGGCTCCCTGCAGCGACAGCAGAGGTCCAGGTGAGACGTCGGGAGGCGCCGGCCTCGGGGTTGAGCAGGAGGAGCGGCGGCCGTCGCAGCGTAAGCTGTGCCTAAGCAGCCAGCGCTGAGCCAAAGAGCTGGGCTTCCTCTTAAGCTGCCCACACGACAGCCAAAGAGCTGGGCTTCCTCCTAACCTGCCCACACGACAGCCAAAGAGCTGGGCTTCCTCTTAAGCTGCCCACACGACAGCCAAAGTGCTGGGCTTCCTTCTAACCTGCCCACACGACAGCCAAAGAGCTGGGCTTCCTCCTAACCTGCCCACACGATGTCCACATCCTGCTCCCTCATCTTACAAGCCGGCCTCAGACTCTGTCACACACTCCTCTGTAAACATCGCCTCTGATTTTTGAGCCATGCTTGTAGTTTGGCTGGACAAAGAGGAGTTATGTCTTGTGCCATCACCTCGTTCTGCATTTCTGTACTATGTTTTACTATACAGACTGGTAAAAGCAATAGTGATTTACCTTATTTTCTGCTTTGTTCGATTTATGTAGGTTGACTGTCAGCTTAATATTATACAATTCATCATTTTACTTGAACATTTTTGCCTAAACTCCATATTCTCCATACTATTGTAATATATACATAAATTCATATATGTAACATATGTTATACAGATGTACATTATTTTGTCTTTCCTGTACACATTATTTTTCAAAACTGTTCCCATCTATTCATTTTGTACTTTGACTTAAGTTGTTTAAAGTTATAGTGACATATAAAATAAGCAGAGATCAGAAAACCTTTCCTCACATGTGAAGTACATCTGTTGAAATAGTATTTCAGTAACATGCTCTGTAACACATTTTTCTTCAAATGTAATGGCCACAGAATTCCTGATTAATCTTCTTTCTTGACATACAATCACACCAACTCAGAGTGGTAGCTTAAGGTCACGTACAGCACTGCTGCTGCTTGAAATGTGATCGTGTGACACTGATTATGGGGGCAGTGCTTAACTCAGCAGCACAGGGATCTGTGGTCATGAATCTAATCCCAGAGTATTCAGGTGACTCTTGGGCTCTTTATGCTCCATGGACATCAAACGTGGGCTGACTCTGCGCTCTCACCCACAACGTCCCTCACTTAGAGGGAAATAGATTAACAGGTAAATGATTAACAGGTAAAACGGAAAACCAGAGAAACTCTATTGGTGTGTTACTTTGTCATTTAATTTAATTTGTCGTGTCATTTGTGAATTGGCTCGTGTACAAAACAATTTCCATTTATAGCTACATAAACTGCCAGAAAGAAAAATTTTGCAGTATACAGAATACATATTCAATATTTAAAAGGAAACAGAGAAATTTATCCCGCGATCCTCCCCAGGATAAGTGGGTAAGAATGATGGATGGATGGATGGATGGATGGATGAATATAAAAAAATTGCACAATTCAGAAAAAATACAAATATTACAGTTATAGCTCCCATCATTAAATACAATTAGAATGTAAAATTGAGTAACATTTTTTCATTGTAATTCCCCAATGTATTTAAACATAATTACTGCAATATCTACAGAAGAAGCATTTAAAACAGAACTTCTATCTTAGCACTTAGCAAAATATTAACCTTTTTTTTATTTTAATTCTCTTAATCAGTACTGAATATAGCATAACATTTAATAAGACATAGTATAAAACACCTTTACAATAAAAAATGAAAAATAATACCATAAATAACAAATAAGCAAACCTAAACACACAGTTAAGGGAGGATTTGTTTAGAAATTCCATTATCATAGTACTTGGATCAACAATCATACCACCTTGCAATCAGCAAGTTTTATATTTTACAGTAACATGCACTTTATTTTTTGGCAGTTCTGCTGCTCTGACAGAACTATCAAGAGAAGCCAAACAATAAAGAGTAACCTATGGAATAAACATACTTACACAACACCCTCACGGGACAGCGGCAGGTCCAAAAGAATTTCTAATAAGTTAGGTCAACTAGTCCCTCTTCTATGTCGATTAACTTTAACATCTATGAAAAAAACTCTACAGCCAGACATATACCCCCTGCAACTCTGTTACTTCTTTGCTAATAACAAATAGGACACAATACAGGCTATAGTTATTGGGTAAGAAATGCAGTATTAAGCCAACGATTAAGAGCAAAGGCAGCCAAAACAGCCCGGTACTTATTTAAGGATAAACCAAGATTCAAAGACAAAAGCAAATTTGTTTACAGTAAAGGCTAACTTCATTGGAAACTTCATTTTTCTGTTCCATTAACGACGTTTTGGCAGTCCATGAGATAATTTCAGTGATTGCAGCAAATTTGTCAGAATAAAACACCAAAATGCCATGCTTAAAAGTTCAGTTTTATACAAGATGATTAAGAATAATGTCTGTGAATGGAGCTTATACTCTAAAAGAGAGCAGTGAAAGAGAACAGCGGCAGAGAGAATGGCCCAACTATTTCAGGTCGTTGTACTGCATGCTTTAACAACAAGGCTGACAGCGTACAATATATAGTGCATGTCACAGCTAATACTGGAAATGAAACAAACAATAACATCCTGCTATAACAAAAGATTTCTGTTTTATTTGTCATTACTCCACAGGCAAGTGAGTAGTGACTGCTTAGTTTTACATGGCTGAGTGTGTATCTACAGACCAGCTCTGTGGTGCAGAACACAAGCCAACAAATACGTGTGATAAGAGAGATTCCAAGATGTGATGGAACATAATAATAATTGCAGCAGAAATATAGCCAGAGGTCTTACTTTATTGATTTCCTCTTTACCTAAAGACTTCTCTACCTCCCTTGACACCCAATGTAACACTCTTCAGACGTCTGATGATTAAAGCTAAAGCTTTGCATAACTTCATGGACAGAAGAGGTCCTCCAAGGCCTTTGGTTGATGTATGTGTGCTTGTGCGTGTATGTGTTTGTCCCAGGGTACATTAGACACTCTAATTAAACATGATGGACTCCGGGTCCTGATTCATCATCTGAGCCATGTGCCTGAGAACATCTTTTTTTGTGATGATGCCCAAAAGGCGGCTGCAAAACAGAAAAAAACATAGATTGAATATGAGAATTTCTACCCGCTAGGGGGGGGCTCAAATGACAAAGGCCAACAGCGACCCCTGCGACAGACTCACCCACTTCGAGTGACCAGGCACTGCCGGAGCCCCAGCTTACGGAAGATGTCCACGACCGTCTCCATGGGCGTGTGGTCTGTGACGGTGAAGGGGCTCAGGTTGAGGATGCGCCGCAGCTTGAGCGGCTGGGGGCTGTCAGCGGGCAGCTGGGGGGGCTCCTCAGTGAAGTGCACCATGGAGATGCTCACCACCCCGTCCTGTTTTTGCCGGGCATTTTCTGGAAGAAGAAGAGTACAGCTAAATGTCCATGACAAGTCCAGTTCAGTCATCTGTTAAGGATGTTATAAATTCATTTGGAACATACTATTTCTAAAACGCGTGCAGCATAAGAATAAAACTACCCCTGGATGGGATGTAAATCCTTCACAGGACATTTACGCATGTATACCAATGGCCATCAAGAGATACCAATTAACCTCAAATGCATGACTACACTATAGGATGAAACATTTGACCAATTATGCACATACTGACAGTGCTCACAGACCAGAGAATGAACATAAAAAGCCCCAACAATAAAAATGAAAAGAAAAACTACTAAAAGCATTGATGCATTCCCCGCAAGCAACTTCATCTAAACATCACAGATTAGGTGTTTTGATGGAGATGAGAGTCTTTTTTCAGAGTTACAGGGATGAGGTAGATATAGGGACAACAGAACAGAAATAAAACATGAAAATAAAAAGCTAAAGAGCTAAAACGTTAAAAACAAAATAGCAAAATATAACAAGCGCCAGAGTCAAAATAAGATCAAATAAACAGCAACTATAATTCCAACCATACAAGGAACCATACAAGGAACAGACAGACTGAATAAACACAACACTCTTGGCTACTTAATTACTCCTGAGTGGGCGACACGCCCACCATCTCACAGTCATTAACCTCTTTTTGGTAATGGCTATAAGACAGATTTTGAGATAAGATGCAGACGTCTGTAGCAAGATGACCCTCAGAGACTCACTGATAGCCAGAGTCAAATCCCTGCGCTGGACGAAGCCAATGAGGCGCTCTGACTCGCGGGAAACCACCACAGGGAAGCCATTGTAGTCGGTGTCTTTGATAAGGGCCTCAACGTCCTCCACCGTGGTGCTGTCCTGCGTGAGCACGGCCAGCGGGGGCTCTCCACAGCGTGGACGCATCACGTCCGTAGCCAGCGTGCGGTGCGTGAACTCATCCTTAACGTCCAGGAAAGGGTAGCCATTCAGCTGGATGTGCGCCTCGTAGATGCCCTCTTTGCCAAAGGCATCTGCCACCCACTTGCTAGTGACGGCGGCGGCCATCAGGGGCACGATGTACTCCAGGCCACCCGTCAGCTCGAACATGATGACCACCAGAGACACCGTCATCCGCGTCACCCCACCTACAAGCGGCCAGACGGGAATTTCAGGAAGAGAATGTGGCCACATAAAACGTAGCGATAAAACTAGCAGAGCAAAAATAGAAAATAGCCAATTTGAAAGGTATGAGGCTCAAACCCAGGCATGCTGCTGCTCCCACCATGGCGTACAGGCCAGGCGTGACACAGTCTGCTCCAGGACGGCACCAGTTCTTGAAGATGATCCAGTCGTGGTGATGGTAGGACATCTGTTCCACAGCGATGCCCACGATGCGGCCTGCGATGGCCCCTACGGCCATGCTGGGGATGAAGAGCCCAGAGGGAATCTGTCCAGAGCAGAGAAGGTCAATCAAAATTCAGATGGCATTGCATTGTCAGGCACTTCCAAGTCCGTCGTCCATGACGTCCTGACCTTTATTCCAAAGGTGAAAATGGTGATGATGATCTTGAAAATAAGCGCGAGTGCAAGCTGCCAGAGTGCGGTGTAGACCCCGGGACCAGCAGGCCTGTCGGGAATATCATCTGCGGGTCGGGTCATGTTGGGGTCATTCACGTAGTCGCAGAGCTGGGAGGACTCCAGAGCTCCACAGTCGTTGAAGAGCTCAGAGATGAGCTCGCTGGTGCTGCGTCTGGTGTAGGGGTTGGGAAAGGCCAAGATGGCCGTGATTCCCGTCACCGCCATCACCTCCAACGCCGGGTACTTCCCCAGCTGTGTCGTCTTGCGGCGTCTGCACCAGGCGATGTTTCCTCGAATGAAGAGCGTCCCCCACAGACCCCCAAACACTCCCAGCAGAATGAATGGCACCAGTTCTGCCATGTACCAGGGGGTGTGGTATTCTACATAAAACAGGACCAGTCGGCTGTTCCCAAATGGGTTGATAGAGCGCAGAGTAAAGGCGGCCACTAGGGCGGCGAAGAAAGACCTCCACAGAGTCTTCAACGGGAAGTAGTAACTAACCTATACAAAGAGAAGTCATTCTATTCTGAGGAACACCATTCAATGAATACATTCAATGAACATTGTCCCCCTGGGATCAACAAAGTTCATCTTATCTAATCTTATTGGGTCAAATTAAATAAAGAAATATGAGAGTCATCCTACTTCTTCCAGGCTGAAGAGAACTCCTCCGATTGGTGCCCCAAATGCCACAGATACTCCAGCTGCTGCTGCAGCAGATAACACCTGTACAACACAAACCCAAAGTTCATTAAAAGGTGGTCAGAGGAACCGTTAGAGCTCTAACATATAGAGGATTCTCTCTGCTCACATAAGCCGTGGGACACACCAGTGGTTATACAATCGTGTAATTTGCATACCAAGCAAGGAAATTACAAAAATGCTATTTGCAGTTGATATAAACAAGCAAAGTTTGTCAAAAGGGTGGAAAAATCTTAACTACTGTGACAGGTGACAAATTTCTCTCGTTTACCTCTCTGCGTTTCCCCTCGTTCTTGCTGTACTTGGAGAACAGGCTACAGAAGAGGTTTCCACAGCAACAGGCCACATGCACCAACGGGCCCTCCTTTCCCAAACTGAGCCCGGATGATACTGCCAGAACCAACGTGACCGTCTTTATCAGCAGGGTCCATTTTCCCAGGTAGCCCCGAATGATAAATCCACTGAGAATTGTCTTTATCTAACAGGGACAGAAAGGAAATTGCTGCGGGGGTGTCCACTTTTCATACAATGTGAGCTCATATTACATGGTATTGCATTACGTTTGAGTCATTTTTTAATCATGGACAGACAGAGTACTTGTGGTGCTTACCTCAGGGATGCCTGATCCACAGGCATATGGTGCAAAGACCCGAACGAGGGACACGGCCAGAGAAGAGAAAAACAGCGCCCAGATAATGTACAGAGAGTAGTTTAACAAGTATGCCCCAGCACCCTGGCAAGAAGAAAAAGGAATACAGTCAAACACGGTACATTTAGTGTTTAATCAGAACCAGCACAAACTATATAAGGGTTTGAGATCCTACCATGGTATAGACACCGTACCTGTGTGTGGCCCATCATGAGTTCAGACCACCTCTGCCACTGTGGACACTTATCACGGTCATCGAAAGTGGTCTCATTAGAGGTCCAGCAGCACTGCTCATGGCTGTACCAGAATGCGGACAGACACACTCCCTCCTTCAGGTCCGTCATCCAGTCCACCGCCAGGTCAATGACAGCAGCCAGTGTACCTACAGACAAGAGACAAGTTAAATTAGTTTCAAGACATCACATACCCTTCTTCATGAAGCATATATTATTTGTTTCATCTAAAATATTGGAAACTGATCATGAAGAATAATTATGGGGTGTTTATCAATGCGAGTACTTGACCATTCTTGTGTTCTCACAAACCTGTCCGACATCATCTTCCATTGCCAAAGTACAGTTCCAATTCTCAGCGAATGGTAAAAATCCCCAAACGCCCCAAATATCAAGGACGCATCGGTTGCATCCTCGCTAAACAGAACAATCCCATGATTCATTGTAGCCCAAGTTCATTCTTGGGAGTTAAGTAAGCAAGTACACAAGTATGATCTTTGTGTTCTTGGTATTCAGAAACACCCATAAACCATTCTAGTTATCTTTTTTAACTTTAAGCACTGATGTTAATACAACTTTGATATTCCAACTCTGAAGTGAAGTTGGGCCACACCTGACAGGAGCCCAATGAGAAGCATCACCACCCATCCGGACCAAGCGTCCAGCAGGCTCTTAACAAACTCCCAGACGGACTCCTTGCTCTTACTGGTAATCTAGGCATACAGCAAACACATAAAATCAGTCTGGATGTAGTAAGTGATTTGACTGAACACCCCTGAAAGTCAGCACTATTTTCAGGACCAAGCATGCTCACCTTCCTGTGGCGATCTGTGTCCCGCGACTTCTCTCGAAGCCAGTCGATAGTATGGAAATCCTCATAAGTGGCTACATCCGGGAAGGGCTCATCTAAAAAGTCCATCAGATGGCCAGACCCAGATCCATTCATCTCCTCTGTGGGGGTCATGTTAGTCTCCACTACAGAGATAAAAGCAGAACCTGACAGATGACTCCTCACGGGAACTATTTCATGCATACAATTAGACTAAGTGCATAATAAACTGAGGAAAAACTGCAGGTTTTCTAATGGTCTTAAGAACATCAGACAATTATTTTAATAACCTTGCTTAATCGTATATGGTTTTATGTAATGTCATTGGTGTTGTTTTCTTTTTCTTTCTTTCTTTTTTTTTGATCAGGTAAATAAAGATGCTGGAACAGCAGGAGATGACTCGAAAAAGATAGCAGGTTAGGATTAAACAAGCAATTTATTTTATTTCTCTCTCTCTATCTCTGCGGCGCGTCTCCGCGGCTTTCCTCCTCTCGCTTTCGTCCCGTAGTAACGCAATGCCTCTGTTAGTGCGGCACCCACGAGCATCTCCCGGGAGTCTCGACGTGACTCTGTTCTGTAAAGCTAAAGGTTGGTATCCAGCTACCTAATCTGTGCGTCTCTGCACACAGCGGCTTACCTTCGCCCGCCATGTTTTGTGTATATTGCAGATAAACGCCTTACAGCGCACGAATATCCCCCGTCGACCTGTTCGTCCCAGATATTTCCACTGTCATCATTTTTAATGCAAAAAATATATCCAGGCTTAACCGGCAGCTTCCTACAACGCACCCCCCCCCCCGGCGCACGACTCTGCACCACGTGATCCCAACACCGCAAACACGTGTTAGTGCACGGTAACTGCTGTCATGTGTGTCTGTAACGCTTAATTTGTTTTGGTTAATAAATTTATTATTTGCTTATGTACTATTTTATATCTTTTTTTAGGCAAAGTGTATAATTTACAATCCCCATTTAACCTTTTTATAATTGTATATTAGATAGGCTATCTAATGTAATCTTTTGAGCACAGATATTTAAATATAAAGTATTCAAATGATTAATAATTTCCCAGGTATACAGTATGACACAGCAGTTCACAGCAGCCCGACCTTGTCCATCCTTGTTTCGGTCCCCTCCCTGGCGGGGACCTCCGTGGGCCCTGCAGCTCCTACCCAGGCTCCTTGATCTCCCTCGTCTCCTTGTTCCTTCTGCTAATTCGGCCAGCCGTATTCTGGACCTAGTTAGCCGTCCTGTTTTTCCCTTCATTCTGTCCAGTCCTGTGCTTCTATCCCTGTCTGTCCCGTGTTCCCTTTCCTGTCGTTGTTGCTGTGGTGTGGTGTTCTAGGTCTGCCCGTCCTGTTATTCCCCCAGATACCAGTCCAGTTCTCATCTGTTCTGTTCCCTTAGTCTTGTCATGGTATGGTTTCCCGTCTTTCCGGTATAGTCTCTCCCTGGTCGTTCATCTCATATGCTCCTTCCTGTCTTGGCAGGACCTCCCGTGCCCAGAGTGCATACTTCACACTAGACAGTGGAAATATTGCACTAATCAGAAGTGGTTCTCGATCCTGTCCCTGGAGGACTGTCTTCATTCCCACCCCACCTTAATCAGGGTCAGATGGTCCTTAATAGGCTAATAACAAACGTGGCAGGTGGGCTGAAAGCAGTGTGGCTTGGAATTCTTTAAGAAGGGGAACAGGATGCTCATCTGAGTATTTGGTATAATGGAGGAAGGGCCCCAGGTAACCCTAATGATTTACACCTGGTTGAAGCTGGGCCTATTGGGGGGAATTGAACATGTGCCAGATTTCTGAAATTATTTCTCAACACTGTGGGCTCAACTTGTCCTAAAGCTACTGGCACTTTCAGCCTCACAGTTTCTACTTCGAGGAAACGCTTCATACAGCCAGTCACCAGTCACTCAGACGCCTGTACACTGCTTTTAACTCAGAATCACTCAGACGCCTGGTCACTGCTTTTAACTCAGAATCACTCAGACGCCTGGTCACTGCTTTTAACTCACAATCACTCAGACGCCTGGTCACTGCTTTTAACTCACCAGTCACTCAGATGCCTGGTCACTGCTTTTAACTCACCAGTCACTCAGACGCCTGGTCACTGCTTTTAACTTACCAGTCACTCAGATGCCTGTACACTGCTTTTAACTCATTTGTAAAAGTATCCCCAACTATTTCCATTAAGAAGAAGAAATTAATTTGTTGTGCATGCCGAGTGTCACATTTTTATTCTTTTGTTTACTGCTCTCTATGTGTTATTTGCTTCGGTTACACCTTAGAAAAAATGTTCATTTTATGTATAGTTGCCTGCATATAAGCAACAGCTCATTTTAATCACAGGCTTGATGTACCCGCTTCTCCGTTACAGCAAATAATTAAATGTGTTTAATTACATTATGCACTAACATATTTTTCACAAAATGTCCCTACATATGGGTTTATTTTTAATATTTTGTATTTAGCAAGGTAACTGCAGTTTTTCATCAAGTTAAAAGGGAAAAAGTGGCATTTTAAATGCCTTCCTGCCTTCTGTTCGTTGATGTATGCTATGTCCTTCCTTTGAGATATAAAAGTGCCTCGTACGACAGCATATCGGACAGTTTCACCCGTGTTTTGTCTTCCTGCAAAACACAAAAGGCACCTTGCTATTAACAACAGTAACTTCCATTGCCCTTCCCAGTTATAACCATCCCATTGTGTGGACAGTACAGCTTTACACAGGAAATTCTTTGTTGCCCAAACCTAACTCTATATTCTGATCTGTGTGTGTGTGTGTGTGGGTGGGTGGGTCGGGGGGGTGTTGTCACTTTTCCCATCAACTCTTTTAACGCCCATGTTTACATGATAAAAGTTTAAGACAGATGATAAAAGGAAGGAATTTCCATGTATTTATTTGTAAATGTGTATAAACCCCACGGCCTGTGACAGCGACCCTGGACTTCATTAGTGGTGGATGGATGTTTGCATACTATTGACTGCTGTGTATTTGGATGTGTAAAACAAGCATATAATATATATAGATAAAATAAGTCACATAATAATTTAAATATGATTTTAATTTTAAAAGATCAGTGTTCATATAACTGATTTATTTTTATTCACTGTTAATTACAGTAAATTCTATGAATAACATCCTTTCATTTGCATAATTTTTTATTAACTTTGTGTGGTTAGTTTATTTTATTAGCAAAAATGTTATTTAAATCCATACTATATACATAAATAGTACAGGTATGCATTGCTTACCAACCTACTCCTTGCTAATCTACCATCTTAATACCAAGCTCCCGTAAAGATAGCATAGATCGAATCGAATAGCATGCCAAATCAGATGTAAACGGACATAAAAGAACTGCATCATGACCTAGGGTCTTTATCACAAACAGGATTTCTTGCTTAGCTGGATAACTTGTCAGATTAATGGTACCCCAGTTTAAATGAACTTTATCTTCGTTCGCTTACATTTAGCCCAGACTAACTTAAGTCTGGTAAGTTATCTTGCTAACACAAAAATCCAGCTTCATGGTCCAGGCCCTTACTTACTGTGCCACACGACCTATGGCATGTCAGCAAACACAGTCATGTTAAGATTCTCATAGTCATAATAGTCATAATGACTCCAAGTTATATTTAAGTGCATCATGGGCTGCAAATGCCATTAATCAAATTCCAAAAGTGCTCCCAACAAACAAAGGAATGTAATAAACCTTGAAATAAAACTAATGATACAAAGAAGGAAAATTTGTGAATACTATTGAAAGTGAGATTGGGCACATTTCATTGTGTCATCCAAACCTTCTATGCATGTTCAGTACAGTATTGTGCAGTTGCCTTCACATCCTAGAAAATTTCAGCTCCATTGCTAAGTACTAATACAAATCATGCATAATAATAATAATAATAATAATAATAATAATAATAATAGTTGTTGTTTGCATACTGTGTTTTATTATATGTATTAGTAACTGTTGCTATTGTATTACAATGCAAGATTTTTTACATTGACATGTACAGTATGATGTATGCTGTAGGTATATTTTTATATATATATTTTTACTTATATATTTATACAGTTTTAGAAATTGTTTTCTATTGTTTTTATTGTCTATATTGTTCCTATATTGTTATTTTTGCTGATCCTATGGATCCTGTTATACTGTCTTTTTTTAATATTGCTGCTGTTTCTAAGGAATTTCCCCATTGTGGGATTCATCTATTTCAGTACTGTAAGGTAGGTATTTATGGTGATATCTGTGGGTTCGTCTAACAACCAAATTGCTTAATAATAACCTTAATTGGAACTATATGAGGCCGTAAAACAATGTACACCTATAAGATCAAACTGAATAACTTTTCCATGATTATAAAGATTGTATAACTTTTGTTTTTAATACTCCCATAAAGACAATAATCTTATAGCTCTGAACTTGGTTTATCATGCAGCGATTTGTTTGTGTCTGTGCCATTGATGATATTCCTTTCCTGCAGGTATGAATATCTTCAAACGTAGCCTATCCTTGGTTTAATGTTTACCGGATACATTTTTTTATCACTTGAGTGAGACAACATGCAAAAAGAAAAAAAAAAATGCAGAATTGGAAACAAGGGAAAAGAATGGCCCACTAATCCGTGAGATTTTACGTGCTGTATAATCACATCCTGTTTACATGGAATAGCTTCCTGTAATGCTGGCTGGCTGGAACCAAAAAGACCTCTCTGCCCACTTTGTCTGTCACTATCTGCTTTGCTTTGATACGGCAGCAGCACTGGCAAAAGAAAGGCGTAATCCCAAGAAGCTGCTCTCCGTCCAAGCAAATGCAGTTTTTTTTCCCTTTCTTAATAGGACCTGATGGTGAAGGAGTCTATCTGGAGCTGTAATGAAGTAATGAGAGATAACTGACAACTATACTTTAGCACTTCCAATCCAACCGGACTCATAATAAGCCATTTCTCCGCAACTATCTCAGGAGGACAGTTCAGTGTGAGGAAAGCCATCATCATGCAGGCATGCACTTGTGCTCTGGAGCTCTTTGGGATATTTTTATCCATCATTGCCTGGCTTTGCTCACTTGCCACGACCCTCATGCCGCAGTGGAAGACCAAGTCTACAGAGCTGCTGTTGAAAGAGAGCTACGAAACCGGCCTGTGGGAGAACTGCGTGATGCATGAAGGCGGCTCCATGGAGTGCAGACCTTACGATGGCGTCCTGGGCTTGCCTTCAGACATCAAGCTGGCCCAGATGTTCATGTGTATGGCTCTGGCCACTGGCATTCTGGCAGTGCTGCTCCCGATTCCAGGACTGCAGGTGATCAAATGCTGCATGGGGCAGGAGGAGGGTTGCCATGCCAAGAAAGTCATGAAGATGATCGGGGGCATTTTTAGCCTGTTATCTGCAGTGGAAGTTCTGATTCCTGTGTCATACATAGCGCATGAGACAATAACGGAGTTCTTTGATGAGTCTGTGTCAGAGCAGGTGGCGAAATGGGATCTTGGTCATGCTCTCTTCTGTGGTTGGGCTGCCAGCTTCCTTCACATTGTGGCTGGAGTCTTGTTGGTCAGCTCTTGCTATTGCCTGCAGATGGATGTTCATCCCGGGGCTCAGAAGAGGCACAATGTCAAAGCTATCGCCTACTCTTCAAAAAGTACATCAGAATACGTCTGAGCGCCGTACAGTCCCTCTTGGAGACCCAGTAAGTCAGTCAGCTGCCCCTTTTAGACAGGGCTTGAGGACACATCTGCATGGAAATTGTGATTCGGGACAAATCAACACAATGCGGAGGTCTTCAGGTATTCAGGCTCTAGTGTAAATATATCAAGTTTTCTTGGGTTATATTTTCTCATTTTGGCTTTTCGTTTTACTAGGGTGATCATAAAAAAAATACAGAAAGTTCTGATGATGTAAATGAACCAATGTGATTTTGATACAAAAAAGTTGCATTCATTGCAATTTTTTTTTTAATCTGTATGTTTATCAAGCATTTTAAACAAGAGCTCTTTTTTTACACAAAATATTAGCTAAAGATTTTTGTTAGGTTTTTCACTGTGAAATGAATTTATACTGTGGTAATGCAACATAAGTTGTTTATAAAGCATGATTATTATTGTTATCATTTTGTTTATTTCTTTGTTGTTTGACAATCTCGTTATTTCTAGTAGCCATAAATTCTAAAATGAGTTATAACAAATATCGCTCTTCTTTGGATAAGGTAATGAAAGGGTGCCAGTGTACACTGGCAGATTGCTGTGCTGCTTCTTATCTGTTTGCACGTCCTAGAGGAATTTTTGAAATATTGCTTTCAGCTCTGCATATCTGTTCCTGGCTCTTGGTTTTCATAGTTAGTTAATAACAGATAGATAGCTGGGTGGAGCATGTGCCCGGGAGGGGAAACTGCATTATTTCACTGAATTTGAACCTTTGCATTGTCTATACATCAACATGTTTTTTATTTGCATCATTCCCTGTTCAGTATAGTATAGTATAGTATAGTATAGTATAGTATAGTATGGTATGGTATAGTATAGTGCACATAAATCAAACGGCTTGACTCATCTAAGGTGTGATAAGCGAGACCAAGAAAAAGGTTTTGGAAAAAGTAAGTAAAGGTGTTGATTTATATGCAAATCCATAAAACATACAAAGAATTTCTGTAGGTGCTGTAAATATTTTCATATACATAGCAAGTCGGGACCATGTGGAAGCCTCATAATCAAAGTGAAAAAATCACTTCTCAGTCAACTGCGCTGATTAGCTGTGCATTATCGGCTGTGCCACACCCTGCATACAGGCGCCTTCCTGCACAGACAGCATCTACTGTTGTCGTCAGCGTGCTATAAAGACCACATGGCCAGGGTCCGCATTTCCCAGAACCCCATTGCCTGGAAAACAAGCCAAGCTGTTTCCTCCAAGACAAGCTGAGTTAAGCAAATAACCATTATGATGGTGGAAATGGAGTAATTAGCCCTCTGATGAGCACCGAAATGCTTTCCTTGATATCTCTCATCCGGTACAGCAAGTGTTAACACATTTAGGCACGAGGGAGTTCAAGTTGGGTTCTTTTCATTTATTGTAATTTTGATGGCATTTGATTGAACTTCAACTGCCAATAAAGAGTACAAATGTTTTTTTCAATAAAAACTGTTATGTAACTGCATCGTGTCCAATATCTAGCGTTATTAAACACTATGAAATTAAACACTAACTTTAATCACTAGTCTAACATTGCAACACTGTAAACATCCATTTAAATTGGCTTGTAAGTCTAGTTATCCAGAAAGGCTGACTGTCAAAACTTAGTCACCTGCTTAATGTACATATCCCATAAGAAAGTATAAGGTTTCATACCATATGTTACATCTTCTTTTATTATTAAAGGTTTTGGTCTCCATGTTTCCTGAGGAGCCATAGAGGCTTCACCTTACATAAACATTTCATTATTTATCAGATATTTTTGTCCAAGGCAATGTACAGGTGGGACAGAGAATGCAGCACTATCCTTGTTAAGCTTCCAGCAACGTGTGTGTTCTAGAGAAACGGTTTTTGTTTGATAAACAAGGTGGCCAATACTCCCCACGTTTCACTAGTAAAACAGAACGGCAAACAAAATAGCCCCGTCTTCCCCGAAGTGCCGGCATTTCTGACGTAGTCACTTACGGCAAGACAACCTCAACACTACATTTCAACTTAGAAACCACTTGGGGGAAAATGAAAAGTTCATCAAAGGAATAATGTATTAAAAAACAAAACAGTACATCTATTTATATATCTGTAGTTAGAGTTTTGTAAAAATTCCCGTAATCACTGATTTTCAAAATATACAAATGAAACACAAAGCCATAGGCTGGGTCCTGATTGCTGGATAAGGTCATTCCCCAGAGAATTCTCCATGCCAGGGAGACTGCCGCACCTCCTGTGCCTGCTGGATCTAAGGAAAGATAACAGGAGGCAGGACCGCTTACAGCTCACAGACACCCAGCATTTAACAGGACCGCTCACAGCTCACAGACACCCAGCATTTAACAGGACCGCTCACAGCTCACAGACACCCAGCGTTTAACAGGACCGCTTACAGCTCACAGACACCCAGCGTTTAACACTTTCACATTCACACACACAGGTCTGCTCATCTTCATTCTTGGTTTTTTTTTGATTACATGACATGATGAGAAATTCCATACACTTTATATATTACATAATTATTCACAATTCTCCGTGCCACAAAGTTTGAATTAATATATCAGGCCCAACAGGAGCATATTTTTTACTTGTGTATTTGACTAATAATAATATAACATCTTAATGATTTTGATCTAATGGAAGCCTGTCTTACTTTCACTTAGACAAGCCTATAGGAATAGAAATATACAATTTTAATGCTGTTTAGCCCAAAACCTTCAACTTAATCAGTATACTGTTAAATCCTTCACCTTTTATAATATTATTTATTATTATTTATTATAAAATCATAAAAATGCTTAGAAACTCTCCTGAAGCAATATATGAAGATGCACTTAGACTGCAAAATGAAAGTCGGAATAATACAGCTCCAAATTGTATTCCCATTCAGTCTATGTGACTGTAAGAATCCACAGAGACTGATTCCAAGGCAATAAGTACCACCCCAGAGTCATGCTGTGCCCCCCACCCCCCTCCGCCCCCCCCCAGGGGTGGTGTGTGTGCAAACTTCCCCAATTAAATCTACAGCGCTGGAACAGATCGAGGATGTAAACAGCGAGTTGTTTTACCTAACAGGAAAACAAAGCGTACGTGCAGTATACAGTGTGGCCAGTATACGTGCAGTATACAGTGTGGCCATTACTCATTCCGGAACATTCACACCAGTACATTATAAATTAATATGAATTAACATATTCTGATGGCATGTATATCCATTTTATGTAACTGTGAAGGAGTTAAGAGCATGATTCACATGTAAATTCATGTGCAGGTTTTTTTTTACCATAGCAGAATAAAGTGTCTAACCAAAAAACTATTCAAATTTTAAATTACAAAAAGTATTAATAAATATTAATCTTGTCACGCCCAGCCCCGCCCTGCTTGTCTGATCCCTACGTTTCCCCTCGGGCGAGGCTGCTAATCAGCCGTCCCTGAAGCTCGTTAGTCGTACCTCTTGTTCCTGCCCTCTTGTTAACCAGCCACAGCTGCCTCGTGTTTATCCCTCTGTTAGGCATGAATATTAGCATCTCAGTACTGTGCTTCTTGTTCAGTCTTTGCTCTCTGTGTACGTCACTACCTGTTTCCCCACAATAAACACCCCTGCGAGGGGTTACCCTACCAACAGCCTGCATTTGGGTCGTCCTTCTCCTGCTGCTACATGACACATCTAATATATAATTATAAACAACATAAATGAAATTTATAATCATTTACACTTTGACATGGAATTGTTATATAACATGGCCCATTTCTCACTCTCATATACATTGTCCACCGGCTGAACCTGAAACAGCTTTATCACATTTCCTGAAGTTATAATATGTGACCAAAGATCTTTATTCTTTTGGGTGCCTTGTCAAAGATTTATCCTAAACGAGGAGTGTACCTTAACTCAAGATATTTTTTCAGGCTTAGGTGTGTCTTAAAGTGCTTTGTAATATAACTGGATTCCAGTGCTTGTGTTTTTGCACGGATCACCATGGTAACACTTAACTTCACAGGGCGCAAATATTTAGTAATAACTCAGTTACTGCTGATGCACAAACCACAAACAAATCATGAAGAAATATAGTTGCTATTGGGATAAAACATGAGCCATGATTCATTATTAGTGAACAAACATGTGGTCAGTGTTTCACTTATGTTATTCATGACGTTCCCTCGGTCGTTGATTAGCAGTTCATTCAGTTGTTCACAAAGCTTTCCAGTATTAACAGATATTATAAGAAATATAGATACTGCTTGAGATAAAACATGCAATATATTAATGATGAATTAATATAAGATCAGTATGTAACTAAGACTTAGTTTGTGGTTAATTAGTACATAACTAATTGTATGCTGCTATATAATTTGTACCCCATCAAGTGAAGTGTTACCACTGATGTCACTCCTGTAAGGTGAAGTTTAGGCCTCAGTAGGAATAACTTGGCACTGAAAACGATAAACAGTTCATATCATGGATTTCCTTGAAATCGCCCGAGTATTACACATGTATCTGGAATGCAGGGTTTTCCCGGACATACGAGTGATTTTCAGTGTTTTCGTTTCTGTGAGGTACTGACCTTTGACAGTAGCTTGTGCCAATACCTAATGAATCAGATTCACCTTTAGTCTGTCCCAGAGCAAGATCCCTGGGCAAAAGGAGAACTGGGAACCTATACGAGAGAAATACAAACCCACTGCTCATCATCATTATAGAGGCTACGATCCCTATCCTAATGCCATCCCCCACTTCCTGTTTGACCGGGGCAGAGGGCATGTAAAAGCTGGGGGGGAAGGCTATTGTATGATTGCCCGCCACAGAGTATACGTTCCATGCAAGAGGCACGAGGGAGGACACCCCTGACAGCAGGTGGAGGGTCCCAGCCATCCGGAAAGCAGTCATGATGAGCTTCTGCTCCTCGATCCCAAAGAAGATTTTCTGGAGTCCGTACGCCGCACTGGCATTCCCGCCAACCCCAGTGACAGCCGCCACCAGCATGAGAGCCTGAGCTGCCCGGATATCGAAGGGCACAAATGTGTCCCAGATCCTCATAGGCTGACAGAACAGTAGCTGATACTGTGAGGTCACCAGCCAGCGACTGTAAAAGCACACCCTCCAGATGCCTACCCAGGCCACCCCCGATGTTATGACTGCGGTGTCTGCTGTGTACCAGACCCGCCACTGGATTACTCCAATAGTCACCACCGATAGGATCCATCCCATAATGCCCAGCCAGAAGCCCACAAACTGCAGGTGAGACTTGTGCACCAGGTACATTGTTCTACTTAGATTTTCCTCTGGAGCATCCAGGTGATACTTCACCTTAAGGAAAGTCTGACTGATGTTCAAGGTCTGGGGAACATATGTGATCCCGCCGACCCTGCTTTTTAAAGTGTTTTACTTCCACACTTTGTGTCCAGGAAGGGTAACATCTCTAGCTGGATCTTTCAAACATTCTGAGCTGTCTCCTGAAGACATAGTCAACTAAACACCTGTCTCACCTGTTAGAGAGGGAAAAAAAACAAGAGGAGACACCTGTCAGGGCAAAGCCTAAGAAACCTGAATCACAGTCACACACAAAGACACACAAGTATCTCCTTATATCTGACAGAAACCAAATGGAAAAAGAACCATAAAATACCACAAAAAACCTACTGTTTAGTCTTCGTACTAATTTCCGTTGGTCCTGTTTCTTTTTGAAAAAATGCCAGTTATATATATAAAAGCAGATCATTATCATTGAATATTACAGGTGTGCTTTTTCACCAAAAAAGAAAGAAAGAAACACCTTGTTTTTGTTGGTAAAAAAATTACTATGAAAGGTACAATACATCACAATAATCAAGCATGAGTTCTTCCATGGCGCTACGAGGGAAATTCAGCTGATCATAACTAATAAAAGCACATTTACGGTCCACTTTTTGTTATTAACTAAGTTTTTTTTTAAAAAAACTATTTGAAAAATCGCCATAACAGTATTGTGACTTTTATTTTGAAAGAAAAACAGAAAAATTATATGAAAAACTATTTTGCACGGACTTCACGTCTTATCTTTATTCTTCATTCTGTAAGTAAATATAAGAAACATAGCCTGGCGACATAAAAAAGTGAAGGCACTATCTGGGCTTAAATAATTTTGTGCACTGATAACACAGAAATAAGCACTTTTTCTTGACCGATTCTTAACGTGCGTTCAGATGGTTAAAAGTGAACGACAGAAAAAAATAATTAAGCTTGTGGAAGCGAGACAGTCTAAACAGGAAATCTGAGTGAGTTACATATTTGTAAAAGCTGTAACTGCAAAGCATTGTATAAATAACATCGGTTTTCAAAACTGTCTTTTGCTTCTTATTGCTGGCAATGTAGTGTAATACTTGGAGGACATTAAGGTCAAATGCATCCTGCCCTCCTAACAGAACAACTGGCCCCAGTGCCACCCCCCGGTGAAATGGTCTAGATTCTAGAACCTCCACTGAATCAGCAGCATTATGATTTTAACTATGACCATTATTATTAGTGAAGTAGAACGCTATCTGGTGGATCTTTGCTGAGCTGCTCAAAAGGATAATTATATTATATTATATTATATTATATTATATTATATTATATTATATTGTTATAGCCTACACACGTTAACAGTTTTTTTACTATAATTAAAGAACAGCTTTTTTATATAACAATTATTCCTGAATTTAATGCACCACTTGAGCACAAAAAGCAGGCTGCTGTCTTGTTCGTTGTCCCTCAGAAATACTCGCTTTGTTTCTGTCTTCTCTGCTAATGTGAAACGCAACGTACATACATGTCGCATACAATTTTGTGCCTTTCGCTCCTCACCTTCACCATCCAAGGATGCTCGACGTTCCTCTTCACGGTGACTGGCCGCGCCTGAAGATGCAGACAGTCGCGGTGCCTGATAGCTGCGCCCGTCTCTTCTGAAGAGCCTGTTTGCGGTGGATGGATCCCGGGTGAGAAGATTCGTTCGTACTAGGTGGTGCTCCTACAGCAAGTAAGTGCCCCCATCGGGAATTATCGGTTAAAATGAGTTTTTTCAGTTAATTTAATTTCATATTTGGACAGGTTTTTGTACATTATTTAAACAAAAAAAATTTAGAATGCGCTTCTCAAAACTCACAAATTATTGTAAATGTTCTTCTTCATTGCGGCTCTTCTGGGGGTGGTACAGTTTTGCAATGGTTAGCTCTGTTACTTTATTCCCCCAGGACTGGGGTTCGAGTCTCCGCTGTGGGGCTTGTTCTCCTGGAGTCCCCCCACAATCCAAAAATGTGCTACGCTTAACCCTACGATGGGTTGGGGCCCATGATATAATGATCATTAACAATCTAAAAGTAAAAGTCAGAATCTAACTTTTGAAATGCAAAAGGTAAAGAGGGTGGCAGGATGCTACCTTGGTTCAATACACATCACAGGGTTTGGGTCTGTGTGCATGGAGTTTGTCATGGTGGGGATTCCTCTATCCTCGGTTCTTACCTGCCTTGTGCCGGTACTTTCCTGGATAAGCTCCAGAACCTACATAGGACAAGTGGTGGTGGGAAATGGATGAAAAAGGCTATTTGTACCCTTCATAAAAATATCTTTGCTTAGGTGCAGAGTATTACTTTACTAACTCAATATGTCGACGGTCTCTATCCATGTAGGAACTGAGTAAATTACCTGTTCTCTGTTAATTAATAAGAATTTAGATCTCCTTTCTGGCTGTGGCATGAAGATTTGCTACAAAGCAAAAATAGTATTCAGTACGAGTAAGTGATATTGTGGCCGTCATGCTGATCGAGTGGCCAGAGTCAGTGACTACGACTGGTAACGTTCACAGCTCAACAAATCTCTATGGCATTTCACAAAAATGGTATTTATGGAAGATGAGCCAGGTAGAAGCTCTAAATGAAAAAAACAACATGCTGTCGAGTGTAAAAAAAAAAAAAAGAGCAGAGTATCACACAGAAGATACTGCAGAGATGTGGCAGAAAGTCTTGTAGTCTGATCAAAAGGAGAACTTTTTGGCTTGAGAACTAAACAGTTTGCATGGTGTATATCTAACACTGCACAGTAGCCTGGCAATAACATCCCCGCTGTACAATACGGTGACGGCAGCAGCATGTTCTGGGGATGTTTTTGGGAAGCAAGGGCTGACAAGCTGGTCCAGACTGATGAGAAGATGCATGCTGCACCACACAGACTGATCTTGGAGGAAAACCTGCTCCTTTCTGCCAAAAAGCTTGAACTGCAGCGGAAGTTTGCATTTTAACAGGACAATGAGGCAAAGCACATGGCCAGGGCAACAATGGATTGGCTTAAAATGAAGAAAATTGACGTCCTTGAGTGGCCTGGTCCTGACCTTAACGCCACGGAACATCTGCAGCATGACGCAAAAATTGATGTCCACAGCAACCTGGCACAGTTTGAAACATTTTACAAGGAAGAATGGGCAAATCTTCATTGTATTGTGCAAAATTAAGAGAAAATTTATTTTCGCATATTTCTTGCATGACCAGCTATAGGATATTGAACAGTTACAATAAATACACCCGGTAATTTGAATGGTGTTTTCTCAGCTTCTTTCATTAGTAGATCTAGTTTTTATATAAAAGATTTATTTTGGGAATGAATAAATCACGGTGAGTAATTTAGACTTTTTTAATTTAGGGTGAATGCAAAAAAAAAACAGTAGGATGCTGGGTTGTCAAATAATTACATTGGCGTTAATTTTAAAGTCATACTACCTTATAATTTATTTGCATTACGGCATGTGTTAATTTTGACACCCCAATGAGAGAATAGTATGAACAAATATTTTTTTTAAAAAGCCAGTAAGACTGGCAAGCTAGATTGAAAAGAAATTGAAAATAGTTTAATGCATTGCAAAAGTATGCTATTGGAATCTTAAAAACAGGAGGGTGTGTGAATCTGAACATTTTTGGGTAGCTGGATGACTGGTAGGGAAATTAACAAGGGGCACCAAATGGGCAAAGGGAGGCAGCTTAGCAAAGGGCTGCCAACCAGGCAAGGGGGGTGCCGGCTAAGCAAAGGGGCACCAAATGGGCAAAGGGGGGTGCCGACTTAGCAAAGGGGTGCCAACCAGGCAAGGGGGGTGCCAACTTAGCAAAGGGGCACCAAATGGGCAAGGGGGGTGCTGACTTAGCAAAGGAGTGTCAATTGGGCAAAGGTGGTGCTGACTTAGCAAAGGGGGTGTCGACTTAGCAAAGGGGCACCAAATGGGCAAAGGGAGGCAGCTTAGTAAAGGGGTGCCAACTAGGCAAGGGGGGTGCTGACTTAGCAAAGGAGCACCAAATGGGCAAAGAGGGTGCTGACTTAGCAAAGGGGCGCCAAATGGGCAAGGGGGGTGTCAACTTAGTAAAGGGGCACCAAATGGGCAAGGGGAGGCAGCTTAGCAAAGAGGTGCCAACCAGGCAAGGGGGTGCGGATTTAGTAAATGGGCACTGAATGGGCAAGAGGAGCACGGACAAGGCAAGGGGGCGCCGACTTAGTAAATACAGCACTGACTAGGCATGCAGGGGCGCCGATTTACCAATGCGGGGGCATTGACTTGGCAATTGCCAGAAGGGAGGGTGCCGAATAAACAACCTCCAGGTGGCGCCACCTAGACAAGTTATGGGGCATCTCTTTCACTTGCTTTACAGTAGAAGATGAGCATTCCCTTTAATTCTTCAAAACTATTCAAAAATATTGCCATGTGCTATAAGCATCCAGGACACTGCTGTCATACAGCCCATTGTCAGACAACTACATTCTTTAAGTATGGAAACATGTCTACATCTAGGCTTTTGAATTCACTGTGACAATTACGAAAAATACCACTGTTTGTAATAGCTGTGAAAAATGGTTCAACCAAGAACTGACCATGAGGGTTACTTACTAATTGTTGACATTTCTGCTTTTCATTTTTAATGGCTTAATTACCTTTTTTTTCCTTATTCACTCTGAGAAGAAAGATATGAAAAGTCCTTGAATATATCAAAAAGAATGATTTTGTTATATATGTAAAGCTCACAGGTGCTTTAATTCACAGTAATTCAGTATAGTCTTACACGATTACATGATTTGTCCTGTATTTTCGTGTCCAGACTGAAATACAATTGAATCCAGACTGGATTAAATCCCACCACTTGCCAAATTTCATTGTCGGTACCCCGAAAACTGCACCACTGTGAAAATGGTAGGGGGTTTGTGACTAATCTTAATGTTAATGCACCTCTGGTCATGTAAAGTTTTATGTTTTAAAGAGAAATTACAAAGAGACATTTCTGTTGTTGGCCACCTGATATGTATAATATGAAACTTTTTTTAAATAAAAATAAAAAAATAATAATAAATACATTGCACAGTGTTTTATTATGACAGCATAATTTTGCTTCTGTGACAGTGGATATCAGACTACTGACAGAAACTCAGCGTAGGCATCATGTGAAACAGGTGACTTAAGCCCATGGAGATTTTAAAAAAATATTCAAACATCTATTTTATTACCGGAAAACCCCGCGTTTATGTCGGACTGCTTTCGGCAGACGTTGGCGTTACCTAGGCCAGAAAAATCGTATGGTTTCTGTACTGTGTTTTTACTGTAGTGAGAACGACAAAATAGCCTGGTTCACTGTATAGCATGTTTATTATTATTCCCCGTCTGCGGACTCTCTGCGCCCCTATATAAATAACTCCTGAGGAGGGTCCCCTAGCTGCCCACGTTAAATACATAACATCACACTGGCTGCACACCTGAGACACGTCTATTATAAACCAAATCGTAAAAAGGTCCATAAAACGAAACCAAATGATAAACGCAGCACATATTTGCGCCTTAAATAAAATCATCACAAACACGTGCATCAGCGTGACACGTATCATCTGTCATCGATGTTCCCGTGAGTCAAACCCGAGCCCAGGGCGTGAATCGCCGGCTCCCCCAGCTCCCCTCCTCCGCAGTCCCTCCTCCGCTCTTATCTTCTTTTTCCACCCCCTCCATCGGTCTGTATTTCGTCACAACATGGCGACGTGCTCAGATAACAGGGTCGCTGTAAATGCCGAGACCGTGCAGGTACTGAACGATACACTGTTATTCAGTGCGTCCGGTTTGTGGTGGCCGCGTCCAGGCTGGGGGGGGGGGGCTCTGCCGGCCAGCGGGAGGGGAAAGGGGGCAGCGAAGAAGCGCGGCCACCGGCAGGCTGACAGGCGTGCGGATCAGGACTCAGCCTTTGGCTTATGGGATCTTACGCTGTTCATAAACGAAACGCTGTGCCGAAAAAGCAGACGCGTCGTGTAAGGAAACATGTTTTTATTTTTGAAGTGAAGCCATGCACTACAAACACGACAGAGGACACTGATAAGACGAATGACGAATTGCAAGCGATTAAACTCAGTCTGTATATAAACACCGACGACCCAGAAAAACAAACAGCAAATGGTACCTTGCGTGTCCCAGTTTGGTTACTTTCGCTTTGCGAGGGGCTGCCTGTGACAGTAAAGCTCGAGGTTTAAATGTCTTCTGAAAGTCGGCATAAAATAATTAAGTTTGTGACTGTTTCCTTTGAGTCGATTAAGCTTATTTTGGTTGTGATTATATGGACACTGCTATGGCATGTGTGTTAAATGCAAGTTAGAATTTCAGGTTCTATTATTGCAGAAACGTTAAGAAGTCCTTGAGTTTCCATGTGGATTTTGTCTGATTGCGAAACAAATGACCTGCGTATTTAGGGTTGCCAGCTTCAGTCAGCTGGCTGGCGTGACATTTTCAATTCGAGACGAGTCTGCACACATATTTCCAGGTATATAACAGTTTTATTACCTTGTAAATGGTCTGTAATGTTCGCAAACGGCCCCAACGCTTCTGATGTGGCTAGTTTTATGTTTATAATAGAATAATATAGATTTGCCGTACGATTTCTTGCGTTAGCGTGAAGTCACGCCATATGCGTGAGAGCTGGCAGCCCTGGCGTGGTACATTGTCAAGATTTACTTAAGCTAAGAAGGTGGGCTGGACTGGCCAACTGGCATAGCGGGCAAAATTTATTGGTGGGGACTCCCAAAGTCCAGAGACGATTTTTAAAATCACGGTCTAGCTGTGGTAAGATGTTTGATACAAGAAGAATGATTTTGTATGCCTTGTTGCCTATATGACCCTTTAAATTTAGGTTTATTATATTTATTGGCTTATATCATGATGATTATTTGAGAAATTAATAAGTATGACTGTGGGGAACATTGCCTGACCCATTCGTTTCATACCTTAAGGTCTTTACTATTTCGGTATATTTTTGGTAACCAGATCATGGATGCAACAGAGGTCTGTGGTGTGGACGTGTTGGTACAGGGGCTGTCACTTAGGTGTAGCCATCACAGCAGAGGATCTGGGGAGGAGATGCCATCCAGCAGTGAGGACTCCAGAGAGGAGACTTCGGGGCACAGAGATCTAGCTGATAGCAAGAAGCCCCAGGACAAGAAAGAGTTGGGTAGGATTGTTAGTGATTCATGTTAGCTTTACTAAATTGCTCAGGCCTTACATATCTTGGACATATCTTATAAATCACTTTATTCACAGGCATTTACGTAAGGGAAAAACTTAGATATCACTATTTTAAGTGCAATAAAAAATTGTACTTTACTGGTGCTCTCCAGCATAATTTATCGTCTCTTGATTTGCAACAGGAGATGAGGTTAACGTACTGATGGACGCTCTGAACACCTTGTCCAGTTCTGAGGAGAAGTTGGCAGCTTTATGCAAGAAATATGCAGATTTGGTGAGAAGTCCTGTGCACTTGCTACCGACATATATATCAGTGTCTGAGTTTAGGAAGTGCAGGTTCAAACAAAACTTTCATAGCATTGGGCTTCAGTGGGTTTAGTGAAGTTCTGAAAAGGTGATGCATTAAATTACAGTACAGTAGTAATGTTTGATAACTAAAAAGTAATAGCTAGTGGTTATTGCTGTTTAAAGTGTACATATCCCTTGTGTATCTCATGCCTTTACCCAAGATGCAGTTGCTCTAAGTTGCAGTTGAATGAAGTTGAAGTTGCAGTGACTTGTATGCCTGGTTTTCCTGGTAGCTGGAGGAGAGTCGTGGCATGCAGAAGCAGATGAAGGGGCTGCAGAAGCAGCAGGCGCAGATGGTGAAGGAGAAGGCCCAGCTTCAGGGGGAGCACAGTAAAGCCGTCCTGGCCCGCAGTAAGCTGGAGAACCGGTGCAGGGAGCTTCAGCGCCACAATAGGGCCCTCAAGGTAAGGTATCGTGATCCCTTTCGGTTCCTCTCCTACACTCTGTGCCTCACAGTCACCAAACTGCGATGTGTACCTCCTGTACTGGACAGGAGGAGAACACCCTGAAATCCCGGGAGTACGATGAGAGGCGCAAGGAGGCCACCCTCCACTTCCAGGCGACACTCAGTGAAATAGAGGAGCAAATGGAACAGCACAGCACCCACAACACTAGATTGCAGCAGGAGAACCTGGAGCTGGCTGATAAGCTGAAGAAGCTTGTTGAGCAGTATGAGCTCAGGGAGGAGGTGAGGGAGAGAACCTGGAGAAAGAGGTGATGGTTGGTAAACTGGTAAACCCCTTAGGGCCTGGTGGCTTGTCCAGCTGACCTCACTGTAGGTGTGTGACACCTGGGGGTTTATAATGTGTGACTATGCTGCGTGAAAGTGTGAAGAGACTAATGTCAGCCTTATGTAGCCGTGTGCAGAGCTACGGTTCCCACAGCTGCCCTGTCTTCCCCGCAGCAAGTGGACAGTGTGTTCAAGCAGAAGGATGAAGAGCAGCAGCTGCTGGATTCCAAGCTGCAGAAGACCACGGAGCTGCTCAGGAAGTCGGAGGAGAAGCACCTTAGAGAAATAGACTTTGTGAGTGCCACAAGAGATCTAGTTCACATGTTGATTAGAACTACCATACACACAAGACTGCAAGGCCATAATTCTGATGCTGTAATGTGGAAATATTTTGTATTTGAATTCAGTAATACAGAGCAAAAAAAAATGCAAATTACAAGAAATTGAGCCTTTGCAGTCAGATTTGTCATTTATGCACTTACAGCTCTTTGGAACATGATATTGTCATGTTATGAAGCTGATAGGTGTTTTACCTTCCTAGCCTTTAGCTTAGTGGTTGATTTACACATGGAATGAGTCAGATGCAGTCCTTTAATTCCTCACACCATAGGTTTTTCATGCACATCGTTGTGGAATAGGGATGCCGTTCCACTGATTTTTGTGTCTGAGATACTGAGCTAAAAGTACAGTGTACAAAGTACAGTGTAGATACCATGATGGTAGGAGAACTCTGGTCTGCGTGCAGTGCTAATGTGTGTGCATGTAGACCTGGGTGTGTCATCCTTGGTGCGACTTGCCGTCCCCTTTTCAGCTCCTGAAGGAAGCTACAGAGTCCAGACACCTGTGTGAGCTGATGAAGGAGCAGGAGTCCCAACTCAAGCAGCAGGTACCAGAGAGGAGCTACAAGCCTTAGGCTGCCGAACCCAAACACAGGACAATACTGCCATCTGTATACTGCATAACAGTATTGTTTACATTGGATAAACCTGAAAAATTACCCTGGATACAACAAAAACTGTTCATACTGGATAGCCCTGTACATCATTGTACTGGAGTACAGGGACCCCAGATGGTCCCACCTTCCCAGTTCCCAGAGGACTGGTTTGAGAAACACTGGACTAGAACACAGACAAAACTAGGTGGTATTTTTGGAATGTTTTCGTTTTTTGTTTGGGCAAAAATAATTAAAGGCTTGCATCTATCTATGATGTCGTTGTACGTGATGCAGGACAAAATGTTTACTCATTTTTATTAGTGTAATTAATATACAATGGAACATTGCTGTATATAAATACAACGTTATCTCCAGTTATGAGGGCTTGCTGTGTGCATGATACACCAGTCTGTGCCTCCTATTCTTTGTTTTAGCTTTCCTTTTACATGGACAAGTTTGAGGATTTCCAGAGTACGCTTTCTAAAAGCAATGAGATGTTCACCGCCTTCAGGCAAGAGATGGAGAAGGTAGGCAGGCTTGGAGATGGTACAGTTGTGTGGGTTTGTAAAGTCTGAGCTGAGATTGCATTGCGGGTCTATGACTGACCTGCACTCCCCATTCTCATTACCAAGATGACCAAAAAGATCAAGAAGCTGGAGAAGGAGACGACGATGTGGCGCGGAAAATGGGAGAGCAGCAGCCAGGCAGTGCTGCAGATGGCTGAGGAGGTGAGCGTCCTCCTGCACTGGCGATATACAAGGCTGCTCTGCCAGTAGGTGTAGTTCTGTCTTTAGTGCTAAGAAACAGGGCTGACCTTGTGAGCCACTCAGTCTGGATGTGAGAAAATCCAGACTCCACATTAAGCAATAAGCACACGCTGGCCTGCTCAGAGATACAGAAAGGTACAGGTCTGACGTAGTCTGTTTCTACACACAACTCATTTGCAGGCTACATGTTAAACTGCAGGCGCACAATTTATCTAAGTTTCGAGCAAACTTGTACCAGCCAATATGTGTTTCCTGCCCTGGATTCTTGGCTTCAGGGCTCAGTTTGAGGTGCATATCCACAGCTTAAGGTTGCAGTCTGACACATGCCTACTTCTGAATTTCAGTATATGACTAGCAGACATTATGACCTTTGCTAGACTGGCCGGGTAAGACCCAAACATGATCGCCTGTTACTCGTGTCTAAGGGATCTGTATTGACTCTGTGCCCTTTCAGAAAACTCTGCGAGACAGACACTACGCCTCACTCCATGCCAAACTGGAGCGACTGGAGAGGCTGTGCAGGGCCCTGCAGAAGGAACGCAATGACCTGACTCGGAAGGTGGAAGTCCAACACGGCCCACAGACCGAGCCTGGCTTGGTTGACCTGGGCCATTTTGAACCTGAGCCAGAAGACCCTACGGCCAAATCAGACCCACAGCCCTCTGAAGGGGAGGTGGCAGAGAGGGGGCCTGAAAGAGGGGGGGTAGGGTTGGATCCCACTGCGCCTGAGCAAACTTAGAAGGATTTGAAATTCCCTTCCCCATCTAAGTGAAGGTTCCAGCCAACTAAATCTGGCCCGTGGAGAGTCTTTTGTGTAGTAAAATTTACTACGCTTTTCCTTGAAGATAATTATTTTTACTCACCCTTTTTTCCACTATTGTGTTTTATTTAGAGATTTTATGCTATTTAAGAATGCCGTGATTCAGAATCTATAGGATTTTACTTTAGAATTTTGTATTTTTTTTTGTACATTTTCCTATCCAGCCTCATTTTGGGTGTGCCATAATAAAATGGGCAGCATACAGATGCATCTATTTCCAAAATGAAAATGTGAAAGAAACTGCAAACATGAAGAAATTTGGCTGTATGTCTCCACTATGATTTTCCCATCAGTGCTGATGGTCAAGCAGAACATACTGAACAGTCAACATCATCACCCCATAATCCTATAATTAATTCCTCAGTTCTTAAGTGTTTTGCTGCCTTAACTTTTGACCAATAAGATACCAAGACATAGAAAGAATGCGACAGAAAAGTATAGTTTAAATTAATGTATAAATGAACTTGTCTATGCTGTTTGATTAAAAATGTATTGTTCTTAATCAGTGTCAGCCTTTGTGGATACCACAAGTATGTTTTATTTCACTAGTCCTACTTTCCCATACTGGGGAAATCTTTGTATTTGGATTCTTTGTAATGGAAGTACTGGATGCATTTCTGTTATTGTTTCCTTATAAGTTGGAATCGCAGTCTGATTTTGGCATGGTTCTTGGGACCGTTACAAAGAAGCACCGTACTGTGTCAGTCTTGATGATATTGTAAAACCATGAGGTGAATTGATAGAGAGATGCTGTTCTTTGTGATCTCCACCCAGCTAGCAGTGCAGTCTACCGTCGGCTATAGTGACATGAAGCTTCTCTATTACCTTTATCTGTGGAATGTTTTGTGAAAGAAGTTTGGTTTAATCACCTATGAGTGTACTACAGGCACTGTAATTACTAGGAAAGAACAAATTTGACCATATCATTTATATATTTATAATAAATGCCAAGTCTGAATTTCAGTAGAATTTCTTTAAAAATCATTTAGTTATACCACAGATATGCACATATTTCTCAATTTGTATGTTTAATAAAAAGGGCATATTGTCAGCAAGGTCATTTACATCAACCTTTACAAAAAATAAGGGGCTATTATATGTTTTATGCAACTTGTAAAAGGTCTTTGTGTAAGGTTCAGGTGAATGTTTTATCATCAACAAAGCATTACTTCAGTCAGTTCCTGATTGTTTTTCTGCTTAAGTTAGCCACAACTGTGAAATTTAATTCTGTTTTACCCAGCTTTTACCGAGTAGTTTTTGTGTGACATATGTTTACTTGAAACTTTGATTCATTATCGACCTTTTGAGCAGCTAGTTGGGTTTTGATTTTTATCAATGTTCCCCTTTTGTTAATGAACACTTTGTAATAACAGCAAATGAATAATATTTCTTTACATGCCAAGGAGAACATCACGGAAGGGAGGCCACTCTCCTGAAGACCAATGATTCCTGCTGATTTTCACGAGCTGATTTTTCATTACTTGATACTGTCACTAAAATCAAGCTGCTGTTTTGCAATGAGGGAACTGATACCTACATTCCAGAAGTTTGCCATCTGTTCTGCCTACTTGGAATTTTCCCTTTCCTTCTCAGGTTTTGCAAGAAATCTACCTCTGACAACGTACACAAGCAACTTGGAGAATACTTGGAATACTTTAAAGAACTGTTTTTTTTTTTCCACAATTAGTCCATGTTCCTGTGAGATTGTAAAATATTCTGCCACATCCCCTGCTTTTCAATAAATTATCTTAATCAGACAAACAAATCAGTAATTGCATTTGGATGTATTTTAATAAGATGTCTTAGACCATAATACAGTTCCCAGACCCACTCTGGAATATAAAAAAACAATAGCAGATTTGTTCAGTTCAACTGATAAATAGAGAACACGATTTTAAAAAGGTCTTGCAAAACATTTTATTGGGGTTAACGCAGGTTTTACACAAAAAGAGAGACTATGAAATTCATCTATACTTGAATGTATTTTACAACATGAACTGAAATAAGCTCACTGCTGGTATCTTCAGGTTTGGGCTTGCCTGGAAGATGATTAAACGAGTCGGAGAAAAACAATGTTGTGCGGTACTTCAGACCACTGTGATCCAAGGGGCTCCAGAAGTTTCCATCTACAAAGTCACACTGCAGTGATGAAGGAATTAGGAGCTCTGTGCCTCCAGCTCTGACACAGGGGCGTCTGGTTCTTCGTCGTTGTAGATATTCTCCGCCTGCACAAACCGCAGCATAACAGTCAAGAGACAGAATAACAATAAAAATGTTACTAACGCCAGATTTGGTGATTAACGTAACATGCCGCTATTGCCTTCTCTGGTCCGTTGTGACAATACCAATCCCCACCCATTCTCATAACAATACGATTATTTGGGAGGGGATTGCATTGGCATGTTCTGGTCATTGGGGGGTGTACAACTGCTCCACCCCCCACATAATTTACACCCATGCTCATCCCAGAACTTACCATCTGCCACACTTGCATGATGTTGTCCTCCGACACAGAGCAGATGACCCAGGGCTCGTTGGGGTTCCAGGAGAAATCGGAAATCTTTGCCGTGTGTCCGCCGTGGATGAACTACAGTGAAATGTTGGCAAAAAAAATAAGACTACTGTCCTTTATCTGCGATTATATCAAATGGTGGTAGGAAGTGCAGACCGCACGCCTCACCAGAAGCTCAGGGGGCCCATCTTCAGCGTCTTCTGCAGACTGCTCTTCCCCAATTTTGCTGCAAAAATGAGAAGTTGACAACAGACCCTTTCACATGTTAAAGTTTGTCCTTCACATTAAACATACTACCGGTGCAGGGTTAGTATCGTTCAGGAAAACTAAAGAAATAACAAAAACTAAATGTAAAAAAAACATTTTCGTTAACTGAAATAAAAATTAAGAAATGGGGCTTCACGGAAAAACAATAACGGAAACTGCATTGTATATTCACAAAACAAACTAAAACACGTGCAAATGTTCGGAAGCCCGGAAGGGACATGGGGGGGGGGATCGATGGTTGGAAGAAAAAAAAAAAATACCAGATGATCTCTCAATACTTTTCTACGTACTGTGTCAGTTAACAGTACAGAAGATAGAATCAATGGACTAATATGTATAAACCATATCATATACTATACTTAAAATTATAATTATATATACACACACTTATTATACTTAAAGGTATTACAGCTGGAAAACAATATAAAGCTAACTTTACTGTGGTGTCACAGTTAAGGTCTAAACTGGAACCCGCCGCTTTCTGGAATATTTCAGTATATAAACCATCAAGCGAGAATTCCAAGGAGGGACACCCCAAAGTGGGTTCGGGTTTAAACACCCCGGGTGAAGTTAGCTTTATATTCATTTTTGCGGCTGTAACAACTTTCAACAAAAGCAAACAACACCCCTTGGTTTTCCATATTTCATTATGTGTGAATTTTAATTCATATTTCACTGTTTGTATGTGTGCACTTCATGTTCAATGGTCCAGCTGTGTTGCCGACAGTCACTGTTGGTGAATGGGTACAGTGCAATTACTAATAAATACATATAAAAACATATATATGAAAGTTACATGGTGTGCATAGTGCCCTGTAGTTCAATGCTTAAAGCACACTTAACTAGACATGTCTGTATAGTTTGGGATTATAAATATTAGGCCATTAATTCGATCTTTTGTGCTTTAGACAGAAACAGTACAGTTATTATTAGTAATGGAAAAGTATTGCAGGATATCACGAAAGTCCGTCTCAACTTTGCAAGATCTCGCAAACGTCCATATATATTTTTTTCCTCCACCTTTTTCCCCCCTACATGTCCCATCCAGCGCTCCGTACAAACGACAGACACGTGGCGTCACATGCCTGTCACAACACTTTTTCTGACCTATATAAATCGCGTCTGACAAATGCCTTGCATTACTAAAAACTAACACTAAAACTATTAAAAACTAAACTAAAACTAAACATTAAAAAATAAACTGAAAGTGAACTACATTAGCAACCCCACTTTAAAGGCTAATAAAAACTAAACTGAAATTGAAAAGAAAAAATGAAAATGAAATAAAAATATAACTATTATAACCTTGTTCCAGTGCCTTCAGAACCATCTGTCACCTAAATGTTTCACCTTCAGATTGTGCTTGATGTCCAGAAATTTTGTCGTTACCCATCAAGAAGTTTCACTATATAATATTTATATATAGACAGATGAATCTTCAATAGTAATCTTGCTTGACAACTAGGTCACTGCTGGTGTATGATTTGCGATCTAGAAAACAATCGAGGCAGAGAAGAGAGAAGTACTACTATACCTCAGATCCCAGACATTGAGCCTTCTGTCTGTGCCACTTGAAGCCAGAATGGTTTCATTATGAGGGGACCACTGTACCTGGGAGGGGGGAAATCCAACAACCTGAAATTTATAACAACCCTCTAAACAAAAAGGACAAAAACTGGTGTCTCACATAATTCATGACATTCATAGATCCTCTACATCTTAAAAAGAAAAATCCTTAACTTCTTTAAGATTTTACCTGGAAGATCTCATCCTTGTGAGACTCGAAGGAGTGGAGCTTTAACTTCAGGTTCCTAAGGTCCCAGAGCGCGACTGTCTGATGAGAACGAAAAACACTTTGATCACAAAGTAACTGTCTTTTTTTAAATAAATAAATAAAAAAAAGACCATATAAAATTTAAGCACCAGTCTTCTGACCAGTATGCCAGTGATACTGGGAGTGTTATGAGCAGGGTTTCTGCAGGTTTTCTAAGAGTAAATTTAAGACTTTTTTAAGACCCACGGAAACCCTGTATGAGGCACATTACAGCATGGCGCCTACCTTATCAGCAGAACCCGTGGCCAGGATGAACTCACTGTAAGGGTTGAAGGAGAGGCAGTTGACCTCTGCTGTGTGTGCATCTACAGAGTGGCTGGGCTTCGACGTGTTATTGGACCGTGTGTCCCAGCTGGGAGAAAAACCAGGCAACGAAATATGTGCTGAGTCACAGGCACTGAATTTTAAAAACAAACAACTGTTCATTTAGTGAGCATATGATAGAGATTGGTTCTGATAGATGTTTTACTCTATAGGAGGCTTCCAAAGATAAGCAGGCAAGCAAAGTATTTATATAGTGCCTTTCTCAGACAAAGTCACTAAGAGCTTTACGGTTATACAACCAAAATTTATAATAGGACAACAAAACAGCATGTAACATACTATGAATCTATACAACAATATAATATGAAATGATACGATAAAATATAGCGCACATGATTAAGCAACTATAGTAAAATCACAGTAATAAAGAAGCAAACCGTTTGCCTTAACAAATGAAACTTTAGATGAATCAGATGATCGCAAGGCCAGATCGCAAGGGCCAGGGAAAGAAATCGCAAGAAGTCATTGAAACGCGTGATAAAAACTCACATCATCAGCTTCTGGTCATCTGCCACTGATCCAAATAGTGACTCATGAAGGAGGTGCCAGGAGACGTCCTCCACGACGGCCGTGTGCCCAGTGAAGATGGTCTTTGCGTCCACCACCTTCCCCTCCTTCGGGCCTCCACCAATGTCCCACAGGCAAATCGTCTGCACGACAACAATCGCCGATTTTTTTTTTTTTTTTTACTGAAACCCAACAACACTGCTAATTTTTGCATGTTTGCAAATGGTAGTTTGTGTCCCACCTGAGATCACAGGTCTTACTCAAGTCCAATGAATGACATCTCAAATCACTGTAAAGCTCAGGCGTAATTAAGGACTTCAAATCCTTTAAACATTCTAACCAAATTTGTACTAATAGACTGATACTCATTATTATCCCTTAATTAGCAGGACGTGTTCATTATCTGCATCAAACTGTATAAAACTATAAAGTTTTATATAATGCAACCTGTTGTTTGACACTATAAAAGTGACGTAATGATTTCATTTTTTTCTCCCTGTTGTTGAGACTCAAGCTGCCCACTTTTATGGTGTGAGATTCTTTCTTCTACAGCTTGAGGTCCTGCAGCTTACAGGCAAACATTTATGCTTTTTAATGGACAAAATAATATTTAAATGTAAAATCACATGGGGTCAGGGGGTGAAATTAATACATATGTGCCGGCCAACAGCTGGTATGGAACTATCTTGACAATAGATCTTGACAATATCATCAATTGCAAAGACACTGGACAGCTAAAACTGAACACCAGGCTGATACCAGCACCATTATGTAATTTTTCTTGGCCTGGTCCACATGAGAGTGGATCCAATGTGACCTGTTGACTGAAATGAGTTTGACACCCCGTCAAATTGCCTCAGTATCAGGATCGAGGCATTGTTGTTGTTATTGCAAACTACAACTAAAGGGGGCGCTAAATCTAAGCATCAGGATATCTGTACGGAAATTATATGCAATCCAACTCACCCTTTACTTCAGTTTTGTTGAAATATAGCAGAACACTTAAGCTCACTTTAGTTTCAAAAAACAAGTATTTTATGCTAACGTATTCCAGTTTAATATCGTAAAAATCATAAGATGCAACAATGTATTTAAAATGCTGATATGTTGAGCCAAGTAGCTTCCGTAATTTGTCCGGTAGTATTTCTGACAATGAAATTTGCTCGAACGTATTTGTAAGGGTAACATATTTTACTACTAAGGTTATAACAGAAACTTACCTCTTGCATACTTTATGCTCTAAAGGACAGGGTTTGGTGTTTTATGTTGATTGCAATTAAGATCGACCTTTTGCAAAGTCTTAGCAGACATATTCATTCTTATCAGGTGATATTTTCTGTTTGTTGCAATCGGCAACCATACCCCAGAGCAACATGGCTGGACGACAGCTGGATGGATCACACCTATATATTCAGTCTTGCATTTCAGTCTGCAATTCAGTTAGATCTAGGAATTCAATATCTGGGATACTGAGCAGCAGGAATATAAAAGTCACCAGTTCTCATATGCATAATGAAGGCAGGTCATGTGATATTTCAGCCTAGTACTTACATGATCATCTGAGGCACTCAGCAGGTTCCCGCTCAGGTTGGGGTTCCAGGAGAGGCCATAACCCTCTTTCTGGTGCCCCCGCAGTCGGAGATCTGGACTGCATTCCCCATTAGGGTCTGAATAACAGGGAAACAAAATCAGGATGAAAAATTCAGATGATCAACCAATCACTGGCCCCAAGAGAAAAGCTAAAGACTGCTCTAATAGGCATGGTGCTTATGAGACCAAGGTCGGGACATGCCTGGCTTGGTGGGGTGCTTGGTGTAGTCAAACACCAGCACGTCTGAGGTAGGTGTCTTCGTGGCGATGATGCAGGGATTCTGTGGCATGTATCTGGCCCGGTTCACCTCCCCCTCATGGTTAATCTTGATCTCAATTTCAATCTTTCCACTTACAGAGCCAAAGCCTCCAAATTCTACAGAAAAGCAATCAGATGTCTAGCAACAGCGTGAAGAGATCAAAGGCCCAAAAGCACCCTAATTGTGAACGAACACACACACAGCTGGTCCTCCAATAATGCTATTTCGTTCAACACTGTTTCAATACGCTAATCAAACACTCCCACCCTCACCTTCTGCGATGCTATTGGCCAGGCTGGGTCTGTCCTTCAGTGATCACATTCAAGACCCAGACCCCATACCAAACACCAGTAATTAAGCCTTCCTTCATACAACCAATACGACCACCATCACTCACTGATTCACAAATAACTGGGTACATAATTATGTTACTTGTTTTTCATTTTCCTTTTTAAACCTATATATATATATATATCTCACATTTATTTCAATGTTTATTTATTTATTTAGAAGTTTGGTGATATTTTAGTTACCAGAAATATACTGTGGAATGTCAGCTCTTGTTTATATCAATTAGCCTGCGATAAAACTGCCTTTGTTATACATCGTTATATTTCTCTTAAAATCGCAGTTTCTAAAAACCCATCTACTAGGAGTTCTTACTGTATATACAATTTATGTAACAATCTTATGTCCTAATTTACAATCATATATGTATTCCCATATGCAGCAGTATCTGTGATACACTGTTATAGCACTGAAGACTGAGAATACACCGCAGTTATTTAAACTGTGTACAACTTGTCTTAACCTCAGTACATTCCTGTAACTTACTTACACACTCTGTGACAGTCCCAAAACGTTTAAGAAATTACAATGCAGTCCTTCCTGCTGGGAACTACAATGCAGTAATTTAGGGTAACAGGTCTTCATAAAGCAGTCACAGTACACAGACAGGTATGAAGTTTTGATATGAGCTACTTTTAATCCAATAGACTTGTAAATATAACCCAAAAATGGCCATGACGCTGTGCCTGAATTTCAGAAAAGCCCCTAAATTTTTCAGGACAAAAGAGCAATTGCAAAGTCAGCCTCACCATTTGGTGAACGTCTCAATTGGCGGGGGGG